TAAACAGGTGGCATCTTCGTCAGCAAGGAGCCAAATTACAAGTCGACAGTTTCTCGGATATTTTCATTTTGATCTTTTGAAGGAAGATTTAGAGGTTTCAAAAGACACGGAAGGCCAAGACTTGTTTTTTATTTGTTTATGAGCATAAATCCTCTCTTCATTCCAAAAAGAGAACTTACGGTAGTTGACAAAGATTAAGACAGCAACTAAAAATAAAATAAATAAGAAAATAAAGTAGAAGGGACTAGAAAGTAGAAGAGAAAAGCGAGCTGGAGCTGGGCCAGGGTCAGTTCCCAGCAAACCTGCACAGCCAGAGTCCTGGCGGCCAAGAGGAGACACAGACTCAAAGGGCTCAAGACTCACCTTGTGCATCGGGCGAGAGCAAACCTGTCAGTCCTTCTGAGCTTTCTGAGATAATGGGAAACCTGAGCCCTTGCCCAGTCATGGTGGGTGGGGTCGGGAACGATGGGCAGGCGGGCAGGCGATATTCCCACCCCAAGCACAGTGGCTAGCTTCGATAGGCTTGTTCTGTTAACACTGTAAAATGCAATTTATGGCCTCGCAGTCCATCAAAGTCACTTCTGCAAGAGCCAGAGCCCCCTGTGCAGCTCACACATTCCTGCTGGCTAAACTCCTTCTGAAAATAGCATTTAAAGAAACAAAAGGAAGGAAAGATCAACCCCACAGCCTTGGTCATGAACATCCACGAGGATTATTTCTCATGACTTTAATAAGGGTTGAATATTAAGGGTTAAGGTGACATTCTTTTGCCAGAATGCAAAGACCTGAAATTCTGCAGAGTCAGCTGGGATAAATGTATAAGTTTGAGGATCCCTGAGCGGAGTGCGGATGATTATCCTCATTAAAATAAGCTTCCGAGTTTATCCAGTTGAAAAGGCAGCCACACAGCCTCCTCCTGGAGGTGGCCAGACGGGGAACATCCACAGAGAGGATCGAGCTGTTATTAAAAAAAATCATTTTTTCAGAACACCAACAGAATACAAGGGAGACGAGACGACCCTGGCGACCTGCTCCGTAGAGCGAGGCTACAGTAATTGTAGCCTGGGCAATTTTCAGAGTGTCATAAGTTGTCCCCCAACCAGGAAAAAACATCTAGGAAACTTATAAGAACCCACTGAATGTCTAATTTTAAGTGATGCAACTTTTGGAGATGCATCTAAGAAGCTGTGGATGAAAATATAATTCCAGGCAACTCCATCCTGGGGGGGGGGGGCATCATCCAAGAATTTTAGAGTGATTGGTTTAAACCATTCTTTTTTGACAGCAGAACCACTGACGTCTTCATGCATAATTTGAATGAAATTCAGAAATACTGTTCTCCCCTTTTCCACTCTTGTAGCTAGACTTAGTCCCTTGTTTTATTTTTCTTTTGCCTTTCTCTGACATGGCCAATAGAAACTATGCCCGGGCCACAGGAGGTGGGTCTCTGCTTTAAAAACATTCTCAGGCCTTGTCTGTGCTCAGCACTAAAGACTCTTCTGGCCCGGAGGGCTTACAAAGATGAATGGGTGGTCTGAGGCTCCAAGAGGCTTTCTCCCCTCTCATGCTACCCAATCTGTCTTGTATCCATGATACAGGCGACAAGTGTCATGGTGTCAGGCTCTGTATCGGGTAGAGTGGGAGACAAAATCTGGAGTAGAACAGAGACGCTACCCACAAGGAGGTTCAGCCTAGATGACAGAGTAGGGAAGACATGCTCAGATGACCAGGATACGAGGTGCAATGGGATCTACCCTATATGTACGTAATAGGAGGGGAGATCCCACCACAGAAATATAGGAGGGTGCTGTGTTATATTCTTTTGCCCCAAGTTTTTTACTCAGTTCAGTTCAGTAAAATCCTCTGTGCACCTCCAAGGCATCGTGTTCCAAGGGAGAGACTGGGGGTCCACCAGGATCAAATCTCAAAGAGCTCCTGCCAACAAGAGTCATCAGAGCTTTTCCTGCAGGTGTCAGTTTGAAGCCCGGGACGTGGTCTTTCTCCAACATGCTTTGGTACATTCCCTCAAGCAGCCCAACGCCCAGGAGGAGAGAGAGCAAATGTTTTTCCTGGAAAGGCATTGACGTTGAAACACAGCAGCTGGAAATTGGCAAGGTGCCCTCAGAAGGCCGGGGAAGTGATTTATTTTTCCAGCCTCACCACAGGAACTAGAGCCCCGGCAGATGCCTCCATGAGTTAGCGGCAGCTGAACTGAGTGAGATCAGTATTAATTATTAGTCACTTTCGAGTGTCTTTCTCAGAAACTACAGAGCACTTGCAAAGCCCAGACCCTCTCGAATTGCAATCAATACTGTATACACCTTGCATGGCGACCTGAGTGGCATGTAATTATAAAACGGTATTGATTCCTAGCAAAGCGTCTGAAAAGGTACAAATTCTTCCCATAAAAATCTGCTAAATCTTCCAAAGGCTTGATAATTTTTTTTCCTGAAGAAAGAATCCAATGGTGGGAGTGAAAAACTTGAAAAGTTAGCTAAATTAGGGCTATTCCCTGCTAGGAGCCAGATCTGTACACATAATTATTTTATTCTCTGCACTGGCACTGATTGGCTTGGGTTGAATGTTGTGAGTCTAGAATCCAGATTATTTTGTCGGTTCCCATGATGATGTTTTCTCCTCACACCTTCTGTGTTTTTTTTTCTGTGAAACAGTAATTGCATGTCTGGACTTGACCCATCCCTGCCGCCCTTGCTCCCGTCCCTGCACCTGCTTTTGCTCCTCCATTGCACTGTCTGCTGTGCCCCTTGGCCAGGAGCATCAGTGCCCCTTACACACACCATGCTCACCCCATTGCCTGTTTTATTGTGGCACAACTCGAATTTCTACTTCTAAGTTGGTGTCCACTCCAGTCCTGTTAAAATAACTGAACATCTGGGTGGGTTTTCATCTTTCCTCCTTTTGGCTTCTTCTCCATCCTCGGCAGCAGTTTGAACGTGGACTCTCCTATGGCCTCTGCTTCTTCATTCATTGATGCCCCACCATTTTCTGCCTGGATCCATAGCAGGCCTCGCTTTGCCTTCCAGCGTCCAGACTCACCGCCTCTCCTGGTCTTTAGGAAGCCTCCTGAAAATGCAAGTCTGATTGTGGCATCTGACTGCTTATAGTCCTCCAGTGTCTCCCTGTCACCTAAAGTCTAAGGTGGACAAGTAATAGTTGGTCTGGACATGATAGACATTGAGTCCCCCAAAATGCAACATATCTCCTGAGCCTCAGAGGTGACAGGAAGGCAGCAACCCTGAGGACTGTAGGCGGGAACCACGTCATATTGGAAAGGCCTCCTCATTCCGAGCTCCTTTGGAGTTTTGAGTGTCTCTGGTCACTGGGGGCTGTGATAGAGCTTTTGTACTGGAAAGCCTTCTCCCTGCTTGTGCAGAGCTGGCTCGCCAGTGGGACACAGTCACAATACGTTCTATCTGAGCAACTCATGTTTCCTCAGGCAGGAAGTGAATTGTTGTTGAGAATATTACAAGGGAATGGAGCCCCTGGGATGTCCCCTCCAAACCTGATAATTGAAGAAGAAGAAATCATGATGCCACTACTGGGCTGTGACAGACAGGAAAGGGCCTGGGGTGTTTCTCAAAAGGGACACTAATGGTGTGGGGCATGAAAATATTTTGTAATACATGACTGTCCTGCATATCGTGGGATGTCTAGCATCCCTGGCCTCTCACGCGAAAAGGGAGGCGTGCCCCTCCGTCGGTGGGACAAGCAGTAGTTCCCCCACGTTCTCCACACATTGCCACTGCCGCAGGGACGGGGAACAGTGCTGCCCCTGGCTGAGACACCTTGGCTCCTGTGACTACCCCGACGAGGCTCCTCCTCCCTGAGAGCATGATGGAGGTCTGGATTCATATGTGATCTTTCTGTCGCTCCCGATGCTTCTTCACCTTTGTCATGATTTCACTCTGACTGAAGTCACATTTCTTGGCTTTGAAATCAAGCTCCACCACTTCCAGGGATTGACCTCAAATGTGGACATGACCTCAAGCAATTATTTAATCTCTATGCCTGTTTTCTCACATAAAATGGTGGGTAATAATAATATCTGCCTCGGAAGATTTTTGTGAAGAAGGATAAAAGGTGCTTACTGCGCTGTCCACCGTTGGAGCTTTGGTGATTGGACGAGACGGTGGTGGCTCCTGAGCTTAAGGGTCCTCCTTGAGTAGGGAGTTGAAGTTGATACTCCAAGTGCAAACCCCAGGAAATAAAGGAAGGTGGCCTGGTGGACCGGGTGGGAGTCAGTAAACTCACCTGTACCCTCAGCTGTTAATTTCTGTGTGCCTTAAATGTGCCACTTTACCTTTCTGGTTTTTGCTTTCTGTAGCTATGAAATGTTTGCCCTAGATGGTGTCAAAAAGACTGAAGGACATGAGCATTGTGAATGTGCTAAAACATATAGAATCTCATAAACAGTTTGATAAGACGTAATAAGTAACATGATACCTTGGTGTTTCCTCCACCCTGATTGGAAAACCCCTGTCAGCCAGTTGGGATAATGCACTTAATGGGAATTTCTCAGGACAGATGTATAAACCCAGAGAGCCCACTCACATGGCAGATAGCAGGATGTTCTGCATGACACTGAGTTTCTCTCTGTCACCTCATCCTGTTTTGTTTTGTTTTTTACTTTCAATATTATTTTGTATTAGTTTCAGTTGTACAGCATAGGGGTTACAGTCATATACTTTACTAAGTGTTTTCTTAATATTTTCACAACCCATAAGTTACTATTGTTGGCTATATTCCCTGTGCTGTATTGTCAACTCTGTGACTATTTTGTAACTGTCAGTTGTACTTCTTACCTCATTCTTGCCGACGTGCCCCCCAGGCAGAGGAACGAAGGCACCTGTGGCACGTAGGCATCGTAGGCATCTCTCGTTAAGAGCTCACATGTGCAGGTCTGCAGCTTTCCCTGCGGGCTTCCCAACACCCAACGACTGTGTTCAGTTCATTCACGTTGTCTGCTTGTTGCCCCCCAGCAACAAAGGCGAGAGAAGGAGCTGCGGAAGCAGCAGGAGCGGGAACAGCGCCGGCACTACGAGGAGCAGATGCGCCGGGAGGAGGAGAGGAGGCGTGCGGAGCACGAGCAGGTACAGCTGGGACTGCGGAGTCCCACAGATGGCCCCAGAGCACCAGCTGTCTCTGGAGTATGGGTCACCTTCTCTTGAGACTGCTCAGTTTAAGCAGGTTTTTATTCTTTCTCAAGCAACTATTCTCACCCATTCAAAAAGTCAAATGCACAACCTTGGCAGTGCCCACTCATTCAACCTTGCTTCCTACCCAGGCCCAAGTGCCCTGACATACCCTGATCTTTTGATTCTCTCAACCCGGGGCATCTACTGTGAAGGTAGCACTGAAGCATGATAAATGAGCCACGTCCTACTCTTTCATTGCTTCAGAAGAGCTTTTCTACTCAGGCAATCTCTGGTCTCCGTGACTTTGAGCCACTGATGCAGGCCCCCCTCCCTTTATTGGAACCACATTCCGACAGCACAATAAAATCCTGCAGGATGGTTCCGTTACAAAGACAGTGCACCATGGCACACTTATTTTATCCCTACTGTTTGCACAGGAGCCTCCGCTCTTTATAGCATTGTTAATTTCAGGTAGCCCATAAAGAGGGAACCTGTAATGAAAAGCTTTAAAATGTAGCTGGTTTTATTAAAACCGAATAGTTGCAGCAAAGCAGCGAGCCATCTCGGTCAGCTGTTGCAGGTGGTGGGCTTGTGCTTTTGACTGCATTGAAATGCTCTTGCTTTGGTGTGGCAGACTTTTTCTGCTTTATGAGGAGGTGTCTGGGTGGTTTTTTTCCTCCTTCCTTCCACACTTTACTTGGCAGCTCTTGTCACCTTTGAAATTACCAGTTCTTTTTCTCTCTCTCTTTCTCTCCTTGTGTTCCTCTGAATTCTCTGCTGCCTACCTCTCCAGGAGTACATCAGGCGACAGTTAGAGGAGGAGCAGAGGCAGTTAGAGATCTTGCAGCAGCAGCTACTGCATGAACAAGCTCTACTTCTGGTAATGGGAAAGCCAAGAGCCAGCTGACCTGCTCTGTGTTCATCGTATGTGTGCGCACATGCGTGTGTATGTGTGTGCATGTGTGGTTGTCCTTCTAATGTGCCAGTCCAGAAGAGGAGATCCTTCAAGCCTCACAGACCTCAAAAGTCTCATAGAGACTTCATATGTTTCCTGACCCAGTTTTCCAAGTCTCAGTATATTCAATACACTTACTATGTTTTCTTTTTAACTCCATCTATCTGTAAAACTTTAACATGAATCCAACCTCATTATAACTTCAGACTTTTTTTGAGACCCGCTGTGTTTATTGCAGAGTGATTTTGAAGGTCATCAGCAACGTGCTAGAGTACAATCACAGCAAAATGCACCTCTCCCGTAAAAGCCCACTCAGAGCCACAGTCATGTTTCATTTGCAGACTATTAGTTCTGCCCTTACGATGGGAACATTTTGTGTTCCCTGCTCATGCAGCTTCCACTTGAAGTACTTTTTTTATTATTATTATTGCAGTGCTCTCCAAAGGAGCTTCTTAGTATCTTTTTTCTAACTGAACTTTTTATTCTGTGGCAGTATGACATTTTTTAGCTTGTATATAAGCTTGCTGATGGCTTTTGTTGATCCAAGTTCAGGCAATGTCTTTAGCTCCTCTCTCTGTTTTGTACTGCTTCATTGCGCATGTCTGAATGGTTTCATTACTACATCAGGAAGTGAATGGCTCCTCATGGAGGTTGTATACTGACCATACAAATGTCCTCATTATTGCCACTTTCCTGGTTGTAATTCATCAAGGATAAGTTACTTTGCAATGGGTAGTGTTCTGTAAGGATTGCCATTAAGGCAATAGTGTTTTCACTGAATGTCACATTCTGTGTAGATGTTAAACCAAACCTGTAGCATAGCTCTGTGGCACATCCTCATATCCTCCTGTCATTATTGGGGTCTTCTGTTATATAGCATCACTTTTTAACTCCACTGCATGCTTAGCTGGTACTGGCCAGTGGTTTCTCTATGGTGATTTTGCTACTCTTTCCTGACCTGGACAGGAGTACAAGCGCAAACAATTGGAAGAACAGAGACAAGCAGAAAGACTGCAGAGACAGCTAAAGCAAGAGAGAGACTACTTGGTTTCCCTTCAGCATCAACGGCAGGAGCAGAGGCCTGTGGAGAAGAAGCCACTGTACCATTACAAAGAAGGGATGAGTCCTAGTGAGAAACCAGCATGGGCCAAGGAGGTAAGTCAGCAAGCAAGTGTAAGCACACCCTGGTGGCCAGGCTGTTGGCTGTAATGGGTTCGTCCAGTGAAAGTGGAGAGTCAAACTAATGCTGTGAATCTAGAAAACAATTCACTATAAAACATGCGTACTTTGCTTTTGGAAGAGCCATAACATTATTTCTGTAGAGAAATTGCAAGTCACCTTAATCTTTTTTTTATATTTGCAAATGGAGTGGATTTTTGTAAATAAAAACAAGTAGAAAAATAATTTCCCTTACAGCAGCCAAATGAGTTTGTAGCATGAGGATTTTTAGTGACTTCCCATGGGATTATATGACTAAGGACATAAGGAATTCTAAGTAAAATCATTTGCCATCTATATCTAGCCCCTGAGATTGGTCATTAGTATTGTCACTAACACTCCCTTTTCTTTGGTGGCACCAGTGGACACGCATTGGCCTCAGACTTGTGGCTGTGATATTCACTTTCAGGGTCAGAGGTCATTTGTTTTGCAAATACTTCCAAAGTAGTGGTGCTTGGCTCTGGGATGAGCTATTTTGAAAATCTCATTAAAAACTGTTGGGATGGTAGGAAGAAAGGGTGATAAGCAAATGGATAAAGCAAACAAACACAATAATAACTCCAGCCAAGACCAATAGTTCTTCTAGGGAATCACAGTATTATCTCATGTGTGTAACACCCTGGCTTTCAGTCCTGTGATTATTTGTGGCACCTAGTGATTTCCTTTCTTTTCTTGTGAGCAGAGCTCATCACTTAAAAGGATGTTGGCATTGTTTTGTGTTTCATTCTAGCATCTTCAGGTACTTGTAGCTAGAATTTATTTCAAGTTATTTAGACTACAATATTACCAGAATTATATTTCTTACATAAGAACCTATTTTTATAAAATTTTTCTTTTTCTTTTTCTATTCTCTTACATATGTGTAGAAACGCTTGAAATGATGTCCTAACGATATTGACAGCTGTCTAGGGGAGGAAGAAATTACAGGGGTTTTTTCTTCAAACATTTTTGTATATTTATATATTGTTTAAATCTTTTGTAATGAGTATGCACTGTTTTTATAAAAGTTATTTTTTAGCTTAAAAAACTAAATTTGTAGAGAAAATCATTTATTTGATTTGCTGTAAAGGACATTTCTGATTATTTTCCCTTTGAGTCTGTAAATATGATTGCATTTACCTAGGTCTATAACACCTGCCTTGTTCTCTTTGATCAATAATTCAACTTTGTGATTCTACTCTCAGGTACAGTGCCAACCCCTTAAAAACCTACTATTCTTCCAGCTAAGCAGAATCACTATGCTATTAAACAGCAGTTGATGTGCATTCTGGCTGGCAGAGTATGTCGTCTCCTTCCACTGCTAACCCATTTTCTAGCCAGGCCACATTGAAACCTTCAGCAAAGCCAGACTCACAGCTTCTGATTATGGCAGCAGTTCAGGAGACCGAAAAACTAGCCTCTACTAAGCTAATGCCAGTAGCCCCAGCAAAAATTAATGACTCCAGACCAAGACTCCTGTTTGAGCATCACTCATGGGAGAAAGATGGAGCAGCATATTCTATTAGACTTGGTCTTGAAGGACAATTGAAGTCCCAGGAAGCCTCAAGGACCATAGTGAGATCTCCAAAGCAATATTGCTCACAAGGATGTAGCCCAACTCCAGAGTTAGAGTCTAAGGTCATTTGTGTGTCCTTTCCCAACATCTTCAAAGTGGTAAGCATTTGTCCATTATTGCAATCAACAAGTGCCTTAGAGACTCATATGGACCTCAGGGCAGGAGAAGTATGAATTCATGTGTCCCTACAAGTACCTTACCTCCTCTAAGAAGTGCTACATCGGACTTCCAGCCAAGATGGAGGTGTAGGTGGAAACACTGTGCCTCCTCACACAACCGAAATTAAGGACAACAAAGATTTAGAAACAAAATCACAACCAGAACAGACAGAAAATTGAACTGTATGGAAGTCCAACAACCATTTAACCAGACCAGTAAGAGGGGTGGAGTCGGCAGGCAGCAGAGAGGGATCATGGCAGGAAAAGGCAGTGGTAGCCAGACCCAGGAGTGGAGGTGGCTCAAGGCAGACCATGGTCGCACCTTTGCGTGCAGATAAACTAGGCAAAAATAGGCAGCAAGACAGACTGCACAACCAAGGGCCCCAGCTATGGGAAATAAAGCCTAAAACCATCGATTGAAAAGGTGTCAGCTTGTGGGAAGCGGCAGAGAGGACTGAAATTCCGATGGCAGAATAAACACCATTGCTCCCTCTTTGACCCCGCCCCCACATACAGCATCACAACCCAGCAACGTGGGTTGCCCTGCCCTGATGAACTCCTAAGGCTCCACCCCTCATGCATAGCAGGCGCAACCTGACCAAAAATGGCTCAATCAAAAGAACAAATCAAAGCTGCAGGGCCCATACTTTTAAGCGACCAAGAGATAACCAACCTATCAGATGCACAGTTCAAAACACTGGTGATCAGGATGCTCACAGAACTGGTTGATTTGGGTCACAAATTAGATGAAAAAATGAAGGTTACACTAAGTGAAATAAAAGAAAATGCACAGGGATCCAATAGTGATGGAAAGAAAACTGGGACTCAAATCAATGGAATGGACCAGAAGGAAGAAAGAAACAACCAAACAGAAAAGAATGAAGAAACAAGAATTCAAAAAAGGAGGAGAGGCTTAGGAACCTCCAGGACATCTTTAAATGTTCCAACATCCAAATTGTAGGGGTACCAGAAAGAGAAGAGGAAGAGCAACAAGTGGAAAACTTATTTGAACAAATAATAAAAGAGAACTTTCCCAATCTGGCAAAGGAAATAGACTTTCAGGAAGTCCAGGAGTTCAGAGAGTCCCAAAGAAGTTGGACCCAAGAAGCAACACACCAAGGCACATCATAATTACATTAGCCAAGATTAAAATGAAGGAGAGAATCCTAGAAGCAGCAACAGATAAGGAGACAGTCACCTACAAAGGAGTTCCCATCAGACTGTCAACAGATTTCTCAAAAGAGACCTTGCAGGCAAGAAGGGGCTGGAAAGAAGTATTCCAAGTCATGAAAAGCAAGGACCTATGTCCAAGATTGCTCTATCCAGCAAAGCTATCATTTACAATGGAAGGGCAGATAAAGCACTTCTCAGATAAGGTCAAGTTCAAGGAGTTCATCATCATCAAGCCCTTACTATATGAAATATTAAAGGGACTTATCTAAGAAAAAGAAGATAAAAAATATGAACTGTGAAAGGACAGCAAACTCACAGTTATTAACAGCCACACCTAGAACAAAAGCAAACTAAGTGGACACCTAAAACAGGAGCCAAGCCACAGAAATGGAGATCACATGGAAAGTTTGTAACATGGGAGTGGGAGGAGGAGAATGGGGAGAAGGTATAGAGAATGAGTAGCATAGACAGTGGGGAGAAAATAGGGGGAGGGCAAGAGTAGTGTGGGAAATATAGAAGCTAAAGAACTTATGGCACATGGACATGAACTAAAAGAGGAGGAGGTAGGTGGGAGGGGGTCTTCAGGGTGGAGGGGAATGAAGGGGGGAACTGTAATGGCATAATCAATAAGATATATTTTAAAAAGGAAGTGCTGCATCACTAAATGACTTTTCCTTAATGCATGACCACCTGGCCTTAAGAGTTTCCAGCCTCAAGCATGAGATTAGGACAGGAACACCTGCAGATCCCATTGGAGAAAACCATGATTCCATGCAAAGCATTCCAGAATTCCTCTTTCCGCTGTGCAGCTCCCTCCTGCACAAATGTACAAAAATGGGGGGGGGGGGAGCCTGGAGCAATTTCCATGTCCTTCCTTCCACATCTACTCAGCACGTTCTGATTTGAACTTAACTACTACTTTGACTTCATGGTTTTCTATTACTATTTGTCCTCATCATTAAATGTCTGGGCGTATCCTCTCTATTCAGAAATAGTTTACAGCTCCCAAATTTTCAGAAGCCGAAGCATTCCTGGGGACAAATCTTTGTAGACATCATCAAGGCAGTTTTCACTAATACCCCTGTGTGTCCTGGCCAAGCTTCCAGCAGTAAAGGGAACATAGCAGGTGGGCACGCAAATGCCATGCCTGTGTCATCAAGCACTCCTCATGGAAGGTTCCATGGTCATCAGAAGTCTGGGCCACCTTCAGGGGTGACATCTTCCAAGATCCCTGGCTACTCTAGCAGCTGGTGCTCCTCTTTTGGGCTTGAACTTCTACACATGTGGGAATATTGTTTTGGGATTTCATATTTAGTCCTATCTTCCTGGGTGTTGTTGACATAATCTGCCTTTCAACTAACCATCAATCTATTCATGAGCCAGTTCCCAAGTCTTAGAGTGGGTGTTCATATGTTAGAAGAAAGATGAAGCATTTAGATGATAAAATGAGTGACAAATGCCAAATCCGGGATTGGAACAACTGGTGTATTGTACAAAAAACAACAAATAATTGTCTGCTATGGTTTGATTCATCGTTATTTTAACACCCATTTCTCAAATGGGAATAAAAATGAGTGGGAGGACCCTTTTTAAACTGTTAATGTTTCTTATCAGCAATATACAAACTTTTAGAGCATTATTTACAGATCTCTTTTCTTATAATAGGAAAGTAAATAACCTAGGTTAAACTGTCCTTTGAAGGTAGAATAAAAGGTACCATTTTCTTTTTCAAATGCATCCTCTGCCAGGATATAAATTTGATAGCATCCTCACAAGGAAGGAGTGGGCAGCTGTGTCCATGACATGGTCCCTGTGATGCGGGGCCTGGGCTTTGTGTCCCACGTGCCATTGCAGGTACCACCCAGTCTCCTTCCTGCCTCAGCCTCCTCCGAGACCCGCTCCAGTGTTAGTTATCTAACTCACCTCTATACCTTCTCATCGAGATGGTTTTTTCTTTGATTACTTTTCCATCCACTTCTCTTCCTTATTCCAAATCGACATTTGTCCTTAAAATGCAATGTTATTATCATGCTTCCTCCCCTGTGTTTTCG